TGGCAGAGTAGCTTTCCTACTTCACAACTCCTTACAAAAACAACAAACCCAAATCCGCAATACAAGCTTTGACTCAATCGCCGTAACAGTACATTCTAAAATCAAATTCACTATAATTTCCAGTTATATACCCCCTAACAAACCATTCACTCTACAAGAATTACAAGACACTTACAATTACATCAACAATTACATCCTAATAACAGGCGATTTTAACAGCTGACACAAAAGTTGGAAACTTATTATTCAAATTTATAAACCAATCCCTTCTAACCACTCTTAATAATGGCTCCCCCACCCACTTCACCACACACCACACCTTTACACATATTGACCTCTCTCTAGCTTCCCCTGAACTATACCTTCACTCTAAATTGAAAATTGAAAACCACCACTTCCCGATATCAATCCAACTTTTTGAAAATGTATCAACGGACTCCTCCGTCATTAAAACTAAATTCAAATCAAGCCAACTGGTCCCTCTATCAAACATTTTGTAAGCAATTTTCCGATGACAGACCACTCACCCACCAAATAAACCAAGAAACTGCCCACCTGTGTGCCATTATAAGACACAGCGCTCATTTATCCATTCCACAATATCATCCAAGCTCATCCAAAGGAGTCACAAGGTGGGACACCGATCTACAAAAACAGCCAATATAATAACTTTCAAAAACGAGAAAAATAAAAACGAGAAACGAGAATTAAAACAAAAAAAAACGTAAAGCCCTGCACGAATTTACCTCAGATATAAATCCACAAACTCCAATTCCAACAATATGGAAAAAAATTAATCGATTCTGTGGCCTTAAGACTAACACCCAGATCCATTGTCTCATTAACCCTAGTAATACATCCGAAACCCATACAAACAAATATGACATCTCGAAAGGCCTATGTGAATTCTGGTCTAACGCATCACTTAATAATACCTTCCACCCTACTTTTAGATCACACAAAGAAAACTTAAACTACTATACACAGTACATCCGCTCTAACCCAATCCTTAGAATGCGGTATTTCTATTATTTAATTGAAAAGCGCCATAAACCAACTTAAAGTCAAAACACCAGGTAGGGACCGCATCAGTTGATTAGAAATTAGGGCCAAAAATGATCAAATATATAAACTTTTTAACTAACCGAAAAATCTGCGTACAAATACGAAACATACAATCTCTACCCTTAACACTTGAAAATGGAATCCCACAAGGATCACCATTATCTGTAATACGTTTTGCAATTGCCTATAACAAAGTCAATAGAATCATAGGTCTCCACAAATCGTTCAAAATTACAGCATACGCAGATGACTATACAATTATAAAAATACACAAAAGAAGAGATACGTCAATAAACATAAACCCACTGCTCACAGGCATTCGAGAATGGTGCAAGTACTCTGGAGCCAGTCTTTCCATTCCCAAATCTAAATATTTACACGTTTGTCGAAAAAAGAAATGCAACTTCAAAGTAGCTAGCACTTTCAATTTAAAAACCGAAAAATAGTTAAAAATATTAGGTATAACTATAACCAATAATTATAAATGGGACGCACACAGAGATCAGTTAGTAATATAAATTTTTAAAAGATAAAAGATATAAAATGTCTCTCTAGCACAATTTTCAACTGCCACATTAAAACCATTATTTATGTAATTAACTCAGTTATCATGTCAAAAATTGATTATGGGTTATTTCTATACGGAAAGGTACCTAAATCAAAACTTAGTAAAATAAAAACGATATTCCACTCAGCTATTAGAATTAGAATTAAAAATTTTTTAAATGATTTCAACCGCTAAGAAAACGCATCTAGAACAGATTATAAAAAAAATGTCAAATACAAAACGAATCCCAAAATTGTCATCAACAATAAAAGATACAATTGACCACTGCAAAGCAATACTACTATACCCTATTCCCATAACAATTAAAAAAGAAACCACACCAGCGTGGTCCTACAACTTTACTAAAATAAACAAATCCTTACATACAGTCGGAACATAATTTATTCGAACACCCATGAGTTGGAAGTTTATTCCTTAATATCTCGAGAAATTCACAAGTTTTAACTTAAAGACTAGCTTATTTCCTTAATAACACAAATAAGTCATTTTTTTACGCAAAAAAATTATTCGTACACTTCATATAATGTTGAAAATAAACAACAATTCCAAAGATTTAAGGATTTTAATCTTTAGTGGGTCCTTCGTTGGCCTTAATGGAAGCTTGTAAACGTCGACACATGCTTTTTATAAAGTTGCTCGTCTTAATGCGGTCGTATTAATGCGTCGTATTAAGGCGTCGTATTAAGGCGTCGTATTAATGCGGTTTTTAAGGATTCCTTCGAAGATATGTTGTCCTTTTCTGGACGATATCCCATAAATGTTCTAGGGGTTCAAATCTGGTGAGTCGGTTTTTGCTCCTTGCAGTGATATAAAAGCCACTCTTGCACTAAATACGACAAATATTTCGGGTCGTTATCTTATTGAAATACGAAAGACGCTGGATTCTGTCCAAGTTTAAGGGCACTTGGAATTAAATTTTGGCCTAAAATATCTTTATACATAAACTTATTAATTTTATCTTCCTTATGGAAGACCATTCAAGCCATCCACCTGCAGCTATACACCCATAAACCATCCCATTCATGCCAACGTGCTTAAAAGTTGGAATCAAGTTTTTTCCTTCATGGCTTCATTTGCCTTTTGACATACTTTAAAAGGACCGCCGTGTCCAAAATTTTTAATTTTTGATTTGTCAATAAATGTAACGTTTTCCCAAAATAATTCCAACTTGCCTACATGCACTTTTGCCATCTCCAAACACATTTTTTGTTGTAATGGGTTTTTACGAACAACTCTACCATGTATACCAGCATTGTACAGGGTGTTCCGAATGGTTTGGGAACAAAACTTTTTCAGAAGGCTTCTCTAGGCTTTTAAGAATTGTTGTGGATGTTATTCTGGGATTTTGTAATGCCATATTTGCAACTGCTCCTGCTATAGTTTTTCGAAAATTTAGGGATAAATCTTGACCCCGACCCATTTCGTTCAATTACAGCAAAAAAAAGCATCGAAACTAACTAAACAACTTTGAGAATAGTACACCGAAGTTTGCTCCGAAGTACAGTTCAAAAAAGAGGAAACACTATAGTCGAGTGCCGCCGAGTAAAATATTAATTTTGCTAGTGGAAATTTACAAGGCGCCACCTATTGTGGGAGAAAGCATGTCGACTAACTGATAGTGACGTCACTGCCCATGTGAGGCCTTATAACCATAATTTCTTTATAAATAGCGATATAATGTTCCGATTTGAAAAATCTTTGGTAAATCTATAGATATTAACAGAAATAAGTTATACAAGGTCAAACGAAGGCATTCATAATAATATTATAGACGCTACAGTTTTCCGCTGTTTGTGGGCGTTAGGTTAGGCGTGGCCAGATGTAACTTCGTGGCAAGTTGCAGAGGCATCTCTTAAATACTTGTTTTGTAGCTCTTATAATTTTCGAGATTTTTGCATTTTTGTTTTTTCGGGTTTTGTGGGCGTTATAGTGGGCAATTCGCATTGGAAGCATCATAAAAACCTACATGCTTAATCCGAACTTTCTATCTCTTATAGTTACCGAGATATTAGCTTTTCTAGAAAATCCGAAAACCTTTCGAGCTTGGTGGGCGTAAGAGTGGGTGGGGCCGGATAATGGTACCACCATAAGATGCGCTGGCATCTACTTTTCAACGAATCTAGTATACCCTTTTACTCTAAAAGTAACGTGTATAAAAAGAATCGCGGATTACCGTTGTATTCAGAAATAGAAGTCAAGAATAAGAAGTGTACGAATAATTTTTGTGCGTAAAAAAATGGCTTTTTTGCGTTATTAAGGAAATTAACTAGTATTTAAGTTAATATTTCTTAATTTTTTGCTTAAAATATATGCTCGAAATGTATACCTTTCATTTGATATATTACATTTTAGTTTCTGTTACGTATTTCTCGAGATATTAAGGAATAAACTTCCAATTCATGGGTGTACGAATAAATTATGTGGCGACTGTACTTCAATAAAACCAAACACACCACCAATAGTATACAATCAAAAGTCCAAGAAACAAACGATACCCTCAAACAGCACATTTTCTTATACACAGACGGTTCCAAATCTGTCAATGGAGTTACCTACAGCGTAACCTTCACACAGCAAATTCTGGTACCATTCATCCATTTTCACTGCTGAAATAGCAGCATGTAAATATATAAGCCAGGACTTCACATTTCCTTCTGAATGCTTGGGATCTTTGTACTGGTAAAACCGAAAACGATCGAAAAATTAAGGAATACTAATTTTCACATCATTTTCCATTTTACCAGGACAACGATCCGAAGCATGTGAAATGTGAAGTCATGGCTTATCTGGAACTGCCCGGGAAATCATCTCAAAGCTTTCCTGGAGCAGAAATATACAAAATATTACCTGTTAAATTAAAAATAATAAGTAAAGAAGAATCTGCTGTACAAAGTAAGCTGCGGCATTGAAAAATGATGAACATTTTGTTTATATTAAATAAGTTTTTTGTTTTTATGATTGAGAAAATCGTTTTATTTTAATAAACATCTTAATATTCCCAGTTACAAAACTCCGTTAAAATTGTGTTGTCCTTTTTTAGTTTAGAATAACAACTGAAACTATTTTTAGGTACATAACTGCACGAAATAAGCTAAGGGCCACTGTAGGATTCATAAATTGAAGGGAAAACAAGAACAAGCACAATCTATCGATCTGCATTTAATGACAGAAATGTGTTTATTTAGATAGGTAATTCTTGTTGGACCTTAATGAACTAAATATCAATACTTAATAAACTGCGACCCACTGTATAAACTACATATTAAAAATAATACAGTTGAATATAAACCAGTCTCAGATCATAAAACGAAAATATTCGTTTTCCTTTTTATTATAGAATCCTATGTAAATATAGCACCATACTCACGTTAATATTTGAAGCTATAGATCCTCGCATAATTTCTGGTGTTTCTGCTTCAAAACCAATATCACCAAAGCCGTCATCTTGTAGGGATAGCGACAAGCTTCCATAATCTTCTCTCATTGTTATCTCGTCAGCTCTGGACTGATTAATAGAAAATTGAGCTTCAATATCAATATCGTTTAATTCAGGCAACGCCGTATCAAAGTCATGAAAAACTTCAGGCAGTGTTATGGCATTAACGTTCGCTTCTCTGTGCCCTTCTGGTAGGTCGACCATGCCTGGGCGAAAAGCCATCTATAAACAAGAGTATTACCAAAAGGTATAAGGATTGTTACAGAAACTTAATGCAATTACCTTAATCTTAACAAATGCTTCATTGCAATCAGCTAGTAAATACTTTGCTTTTCTTGAGTAAATGCGAACAACTCCCAGCAATAAATGACCAGAAGTCCTTAGCGCCAATTTTACTTTGGGCTGCAAGATGCCTTCCACTGATTTTTCAATATTAGTTTCAAACACATGAGCTTTTGTAATCTTCTTGTCCCAATGTGCTGCTAACCATATCTTGGCCAAAGGACCTTTCTTGGCCAAAATAATGTGTTCATAGAACATTTTAAACTGGTATATATTAAAATTTATTTAAAATGCCCTTCGTTTCATCTCTCATAAGTGTTTATTTCCATACTTAATTATCGATAAAAAAAAATAACAGAGTGCTAAGATAGCAGCATGAAACACTAATAGAATTTTCACTTGATTGGTAGGGACATACAGTCGGCACATAATTTATTCGTACACCCATGAGTTGGAAGTTTATTCCTTAATATCTCGCAAAATACGTAACGGAAATTAAATTAATGTAATATCTCAAATGAAAGATATACATTTCGAGAACATATTTTAAACATAAAATTAACTAGTTTCACCTTTAATACTACATAATTTCCTTAATAACACAAAAAAGGCATTTTTTACGCACAAAAATTATTCGTACACTTTATAAAATGTTGAAAAAAACAACAATTTCATGATTTAAAGATTCTAATCTTTAGTGGGTCCATCGTTGGCCTTAATGGAAACTAGTAAACGTCGACACATGCTTTTTATATGCTTCTCCCGTTGTGGCAGTATGTGGTTCCTTCCATATTTTCTTTGTTCTACTGCAAATTCTCCAGTGATTACGTATTTTTTTTATAAAACTTCGCATTGTGGAAGGTGATTTGACAATATTTCTACCAATTTCGGGTTAATTGCGGTTCGCTAAATATAATCTTGACCCCGACCCATTTCGTTCAATTACAGCAAAAAAACAGAGAAACTAACTAAACAACTTTGAGAATAGTACACCGAAGTTTGCTCCGAAGTACAGTTCAAAAAAGAATCGCGGATTACCGTTATATACAGAAATAGAAGTCAAGAATAAGAAGTGTACGAATAATTTTTGTGCGTAAAAAAAGGACTTTTTTGCGTTATTAAGGAAAGTATGTAGTATTAAAGTTAAAACTTGTTAATTTTATGTTTAATATATTCTCGAAATGTGTATCTTTCATTTGAGATATTGCATTTTAATTTCCGTTACGTATTTCTCGAGATATTAGGCAATAAACTTGCAGCTCAAGGGTGTATGAATAAATTATGTGCAGTACATATCCGCGCCGGAAAATAATTCTTATCGATAACGTAGTTACTATTTTCTTTTTTTTTTAATTTTTTATCTATCTGATATTTAAATTTAAATCCAAAAATTGATTTCTTGAAACATCGTAGCAGATTCTATTGGACTATCTAGATTGCATAAGTATGCCAGATGATGTTCTGTGGAGTTTAGGTATTCTAATCCAATCACATTGTTCCTTTTTATGGCATCTGGTCCAAATTATTGAAAGTTGCTTTGCATACTACTTAATAGCTGCGAAAAAATCAATTTTCGTAATGTTAAGAGAAAATGGAGTAAATTGATTTTTATAAAGGGTATATTAGATTCGTTGAAAAGTGAGTAAAAGGTAGAAGAAGCATTTATGATCGTAGAGATGAAGTAAAATTGGCGTGTGATCTGATGACAGATCTGTTAAGTGTTCCACGTGGACATGATCTCTAGCGCTCTTCTTGTCACGGAAAAATCAATCAAGTTAGGCTTCTTATTAGGAATTGTTGGCCAATCAGTAGGCTTGCCAGGAAAGATAAGACCAAGCTTTTTTCTTGGTGTTATTATAGCGTTGTCCAGCTGTCTTCCTTTGGGGTTGGTAAGTTGAAAGCCCCAGTGGGTGTGTTTTGCATTGCAATCAACAGCCGCTAAAAAACGGTCACCTAATAGGTCAAAGAACTGAACAAATTCATCTTCGGAATGGAACAGCGTGAGGGAAAGTATATAGCGGATAAGTTTACGAAACCGATTTTGGTATTGATGTATATTTATGTAGCTTGAACAGAGGCTGTTGCAAATGATGACAACTCATAGTGCCTGATGCGTTTCTTGATCAGTATACCAGTACCGCCATGAGTATGGTTAGTTTCATTAAATGTCTAGCCATTAAGGTAAAAATATTTTTTGTTTGTTAGGTGAGTGTCTGAGATAAGTATGGTGTCAATGTCATACTGATCTAGCAACTGTGAGTGCTCGTGTTTCCGGAAACATATTTTTAAGGAAGTTCAATAAGTTTATGTGTGGCCGTATTCCTGACAATTCATGCATTGCACAGGCCCATTCCGCTTATGTGGTTCCTCAACGTTGATCCTACGGTGCAATAGATATTGAATCTTATAGAATGGGTGAACTTCATTGTTTTATAAGTGCATACATTCCGGCTCCATTTCTACTTTGAACATTAGCTGAGGAACTTTGTTTTTATTTAATATATTCCTAACCTGTTTGACGTTAAAGCCATTTTTTTTAAGTTCAGCTATAATCTTATAGATAGGGACTGTTGCTTCAATAGCTTTGATAACTACTTGTAATCCTTAGCAACTTTTAAGTTGGTAGGTGTAGTAGTTTATTTTTCCTTTATCGAGGTGTTTGGCTACTGATCAGTAATCTTGCTGGTCGTTCACTTGTATTTTTGTCTCGTTGATGTTACCCGCTTTTATGGACTTTGAATAGAACTCGTTTGCTCCAATTTGATCAGTTATTGTCATCATCTTTTGGATCAATAAGAATAGAAAATTGATTACCTGTCAGCGCATTGTTTCACACAGTGTTTCAAAAATAGTTGGTCTGAAAGCTTGCACACTCTAGCTTGTTTAACCCTTAGCTGACCTAATAAAATATGTAAGTCCGTTAAAATTTAAAAATCTTGTCTTTCTTTTTACTCTTCACTACACTGCATAAAAATCATTACTTTGGTGATGATCGAAGCAATCGTAGAATCTAGCGGTTGCCGAACGAACGTTGCGCTTGGTTGAGGGATGGTCTGTCCACCCGCTTGAGAAACTTTTTTTTTTTTTTTATTACTATGCCATTTATTTTATTGAATCTTCTCCCTTTGAAGACTAACAATAAGTGTATCAAATCTTAAACCTAATTACTCTAACTAACTGTCATATGAGTGATATTGTGCTATAGGGGGCCCGAAAGTTATTGCTGGCTGTGCAGGTCGTTGCTTTGTTGACGGGATCGGCTGGGAACCAGGCTTCTTGCGAGGCGATTGGGGTGCATGGAGAGTTTTTCATTGTAGGACGCTTTTTGTTTGTCTATTTCATCCCCTTTTGTGACCGGACAACATAAAAGTTTTTGTCCCCAGTCAGCGCAACAATTTTGTTTACCAGGTCGTTCGTAATTTTCTCCCTAATGTAAATTGGTGGGGGCTTAGGTTTCGGTTGGGTCTCCTGAGCCCGTTCTGGTTCGTTTACTGCTAGGAGCGCAAATCTATTGCTGTTCGAATTCCCGGGTATTTTATTTTCAGTTTGGACACGGTTTAATTTTGACTTGTTACATACGGCGTTATTCTGCGGGCTGAGCTTACGCTTGATATGAATGTACCGATCATGTCCGGTCTGTATGGCCGAACCCGCTTGCTGAGTTTTGTTTTGGTTTTGGTTAGTTGTCGTAGTTTTTGTTGCCTTTGTAACTGAAGTAATGGCAGTAGCTGTGGTTGTTGTTGGTTCAGCTTGCGATGAGAGAATTGGCTGGAGAGCCGACGACATCGTAGACGCAGTTGTTGTTGTATTTGCAGAAACGGTAGTTACCGATGACACCGCAGAAGAGATTGCCCAAACTGCCAGCAGTGCATCGATCGGGGAGAGGGGGGAAGGGCATTGTGAGCTCCAAGACTGAGTAACGGCAACGCTGCTTGGGGTTAGGAGTCGGGGCGACAGAGAGCGGACGTCTTCAGTTGCGGTCAAAGACATTGCACTACTTTTTGGCTCCGGAGAGACATACGAAAAGTAAGCGTTGTTTCGAGCAACAGAGAGTCGGCGCTCGTCTTGTTGCTGTTGTTGCCTTTCGGGGCTTTGAGTCGTTTGTTTTCCGGATGCACTTGTTATTGGCTTGGTTGCTGGCATTTGTTCAGTTTTCCTTATTATTGGTTTTTTGTGGTTTACATGTTAAGTTTGCGGGGAATCAAAACCCTTGCTATTTGCCGTTTGTTACTACGCTTACGAACACACTGTAAGAGCGCTGAAAAGAAACACGTCTGCACTGGGCAAAGTACACGATTATAAGATTCGAAGAACTGAACTGAAGAGCATATTATCCAATAGAGTGTCCCAGGCTAAGCTTTTTTAAAGTCTTTTCTCGATCCGGCACATCTACCCGCAGGCTCGTTAGAGCACCAACGGCTACGCCAATTTTTGCACACAATGGTGAGGCAGATAGTATTGATGCGTTGTCGAGTTTTTAGGTACAAGAGAATCTCTTTTTGATGTATCAGAAATTGACTCCGACTGCTGCGTTCATGAATTGCAGACAGTGGAGATGACCGCGTTGAGGCTCCTACCTTTAGACTCCCTGAGATGATCCAGCCAAGTCTGGTTTGCTGCAGGGTTAGTTAATGGTTTCTCAACCGAATTTTGTCCAAAGCAAAGTAGCCCTCGAGTCAATGAAAAAGCGTCTGATCGATTTGCAGCGCTTCAGGAGGAATTAGAGGAAATCGACAGACGTGCACGTCGACATCTAGGATCCCGCTTCCTGTCAAGGAGGCTGGGGCTGCGACCTCTCAGGCCCTGCCAGCTAACGCGTTCGTGACTCAGTGACGGTTGCGTTTTATTGCAGCAACGGCCTTCAGCACCCTGAGCCGCACCCGCCACTCTCGCGTGGCTGAGAAGGTTGAGCTGTAGAACCTGAACGATCGTGTGACCACCTATATTGACGTATCTTGAAGCAGAGGAAACCCGCCTCAGCATCGAGGTGCAGGCCACCAGGGACCCTTTCACCTGCGTGACGACCAATATCAAGAACATATTAGAGGGTGAGCTGCTGAATACGCATCGGCTTCTGGATGATACGGCCAGGGATCGCGCCAGTGGCGAGACCGATATAAAGCGTCTGTGGGAGGAGAACGAGGAGCTGAATAATCGCCTGGACAAGAAATGGAGTGCAGCACTGCTGAGGGCAATACCTGCATGTACAAGTCTCGTCCTAATGAGATGAACAACAAATGCCAATGCCGATCGGAAGAAGATCTTTGATGAACTGAACTGTGATGTCTGCAAGAGGCCGCTGCACGCTCATCCAACTCTAAGCACTAGTCTATCGAAGACTTGCGATCGAATCGTGTTCGTATTGACGGTCTAAATGAGAGTTATAGTAAGGAGGGTAATCACGGGCCAGTATATAAACTTCAGTCAGTCCAGGGTCCCGTACAGAAATATTTATGTTTACGGAGCCAGGCAGGAAAAGGTTTGGCCGGCGGGAGGCGTGCTTCTGTTTAGGTGTGTTTATCGAGGGGGAGTTGGGGTCCGTGCAGGACTACGCCCGGCCACCGGCCGTCGGGGAATCGGCCCGGTTCCGACGCCCCGCTCATCCGGGGCGGCCAGCAGATCTGGACAGGCTACGGGCGGCCGATCCCGTCACCCGGGAATGGGTTGTCCGGGCCCGTTTCGGGTGCTCCCTGGTCTCCCTGGTCTTCGATCCCAGGCTAGTCAGCTGTATCAACACATTCCCTTGCTATTCATCAGCTTTTGGGCTGTCTTTTCCTGCTGCTTAGGGGTACTAGGCTGCTAGCCACTGCCCTCCACTCTATGTTCTGGCGATCTCGCCATTACATTGCTTTTTTGAATGGGTCAGCTCCCATGTTGGCCCAGTGTGGAAAACTGGACAATGGCGTGTGGAAGTCGGTAGTAGCCGGCGCCTAGGCTAGCACTCAGGTGTTGTGCCCCCGGACTTTACTATTTTAAAGAAAGGAAAAGAACCGCCCAAAATTGTCCTGCGTGCTACAGCCCGCACTTATCCGCTAAGCTACAGCAGCTTACTGCTGTAGCACCCGCATCCTTTTTCGGACACTACAATCAGCTGGTCGCGCAAGCGCTTTCCACCACAGAATTAATGTTTTCTAAAAGAGAAAAGTGCGGCTGGTGTGTGCGCCTGTGAGGCAGCTGGTAGGTGCGCCTGTAAGGCGGCTGGTGTGTGAGCCTGTGAGGCGGCTGGTGTGTGCGCCTGTGAGGCGTCTGGTGTGTGCGCCGGTGAGGCGTCTTCTGGGTGCGCCTGTGAGGCGGCCGGTGTGTGCGCCTTTGAGGCGGCTTCTGGGTACGCCTGTGAAGCGGCTGGTGTGTGCGCCTGTGGGGCGGCTGGTGTGTGCGCCTGTGAGGCGGCGGGTGTATGCGCCTGTGAGGAGGCTGGTGTGTGGGCCTATGAGGCGGCTTCTGGGTTCGCCTTTGAGGCGGCTGGTGTGTGCGCCTGTGTAACGCCAACGTTCGCTTATAAAGCTGTGCGAGGCCCCCGTATCCAAGGTAGCGCTCAGAGGGCGCCCCTAGACGGTTCGGCCTCCGCGGCTGCGGGGAACTTCGAAGATGACCACCAGGTGCGTGAGTTCGGGCAGCGTCTTGAAGTCTTGGCGGCGGGTTAACATCTGATATTGGGGCAGCATGTTCTCGTAGACCCGTTCCAATTCCTGCTCTGGTGATTCTCCACGTCAACCCGGTAGGTATCCGCCCGTTCTTCGATGTCTTCCAGAAAGCTGAGCGGGTCTGAGGTGCCATCGAAGGACAGTCCCCATTTGGTCACTTTGTCGACTCACATCGAGCAGATGCCTCCATCGAACTGGGACGCACTGGCGCGGGCAGTGCCTTCCGATTTTCCTCGCGTCTCTGGGGACGGGGAAGTGCTGCGTGGTATGGTCAGCGTGTGGCTGCTGCTTGATACCTTTTCGTGGAAGGGCGGAAGCGGTGACGCTGGTTTAGTGTCTCCGCAGGGGGCGTTTACATTACTTGCGTTCCATCTCCCATAGCCGGATCGGGGTATCCTCTGAGTGTTCCGGTTGTCTGGTGAACGCGCTTAGTCCGGCCCGCTGCTTCTTGACCGTACCCTTTTGTTCCAGACA